CACCGGAATTCTCGATTGTGCGTCGAGAACGGATCCGACTCTACTACCGGGACCCCTTTAAATACCTTTGATGGGTATCTAGATCTACCTGTGTAGAACACGTCTCCAATAGGAATTACCAGGGAAAGAAATTGGGTGAAATTGGGTGAGTTCGGCTCTAAGCGTTTCTTCTCCAAATGCAGACGAGGAGTCACAATAACGTGGCTGAAGTATGTTGACCAGACCACACACTAGAAGGTGAAGGGACGACGACGTTTTGGTCCGTCCTGGACCATTCTCAAGTCTCTTCTCCAACATTGGGTAAGGTCTTCTCTAAACATCTCTTCTCCAACACTGCACATCCTGACGGATCCTTCCATTGATGGGGACTGATATAATGTTTCCAATAAAAACTACAGTGAATTTGAGAAATAGATTGAGCGCTTTCTAGGAGCGGGGAGCTTAATCATGGTTGGTTGTGTATGTACTCCAACCATAAGCACGGTTAGAGTACACAGGGGCCAACCGGATGTTGTCAAGCAAAATGTAATGTTTATCAACAATTCTGCAACACTATCAAATGAAAACAAACGCTTGTGGGGGCCAAGGAACCATAAATTTATACACCGTATGATGCAAAAACTATTGCTTCACCCCTTGTAAAGCTTGTAAAAAACATATTTCACAAGTAGCAACATGTTGTATCATGCAATAGAAAAAGTGCAAATGCAACATTCTAACACTGTAATTGATGCAACAACAACAACAACAAAATAATAATAATAAGTTGATGAATTAAAATGAAAGAAACAATAACTTATATTTTGATTGTCAAAACAATCCCAATTACTAATTTTTATAACAATAACACAGAGAGAGGTCACGACCCAGCAGATGTTCTCCTGCACCTCCTCACAAGGAGGTGGAATGTACCTCGATTGATTAAGATTAAGCCCTCCCCTCCCCCCCCCCCTTCAAGAGGTAGCACGGGCATGAATAGCCCGAAAGAATGTACATCAACACTTCTCCACAATCAGATGGGATTACATTGAAAGGTATTTTAATGTCTTTAAAAGCCATTTGGCTCACCTCTCTCACAAGTTTAACGGAGGGATGGTCAAATATACCCGGGCTTCGTCACGAATATATCCATGGAGCCGGGAGCCGGTCGGCCGAGCGAGGGAGCCGGTCGGCCGAGCGGACAGCACGCTGGACTTGTGATCCTGTGGTCCTGGGTTCGATCCCAGGCGCCGGCGAAAAACAATGGGCAGAGTTTCTTTCACCCTATGCCCCTGTTACCTAGCAGTAAAATAGGTACCTGAGTGTTAGTCAGCTGTCACGGGCTGCTTCCTGGGGGTGGAGGCCTGGTCGAGGACCGGGCCGCGGGGACACTAAAAAGCCCCGAAATCATCTCAAGATAATCTCAAGATGGAGTCTTCAAGCATACCCGATCTTGGCTCACGCAATATAACCACTTCATACCATACAATATAACCACCGCATACTCAGGCATACCTAATCTGGATCACGAGTATAACCACAGCCTTTAAACATACTCGGGTTGCCTCACAAGTATAGCCACGGCCTCCTCAAGCATACCCGGGCTGGCAGTATCACTCGACATATCTTAATGATACATAGAGAAGCTTGCGCGTGTCATTCATTATGTATTCATGTGACCTTAACGTTAAGATTATATTTTTATTCATAGACTGTGTGTGGGATGCACTCTGAATGGTCGCCTTCTACCACTTGATGAACACTGTGTTCCACTCACCTGGACTCTGGGAGACTCGAACCGTAGACCCCCACGTCATAACGTAGATCACTAATTCCTCTGAGCTTCAGTAGTAATCAGGGGAAAAAAATCGAAAATTCCAATTTGGCAGCAGGATGCTGCTTCTGGAAACTTTCCTTATTAAGACCACTCAATAGCACATTCGATACAGCCTCATCCTCACAAACGTGGCGTCCATGGTTCGAATCCCCTAGAGCCCAGGTGAATGTAATGTCTATTACTCACTTCCACAGGTGATTGGATCTGTAGATGACATTTTATAACACTCTGTTTCTCACATTTCTTTATGATGTTCCTGGAGCTAGCACAAGACCCCTAAGGAGGAGAGATGGTTCGATGCTTCTAGGGGGTGAGGCCCCCAGGACCTCAGCAGGAGGCCCTAGAGCAATCATGGTAGCAGGAGGCCCTAGAGCAATCATGGTAGCAGGAGGCCCTAGAGCAATCATGGTAGCAGGAGGCCCTAGAGCAATCATGGTAGCAGGAGACCCTAGAGCAATCATGGTAGCAGGAGGCCCTAGAGCAATCATGGTAGCAGGAGGCCCTAGAGCAATCATGGTAGCAGGAGGCCCTAGAGCAATCATGGTAGCAGGAGGCCCTAGAGCAATCATGGTAGCAGGAGGCCCTAGAGCAATCATGGTAGCAGGAGGCCCTAGAGCAATCATGGTAGCAGGAGGCCCTAGAGCAATCATGGTAGCAGGAGGCCCTAGAGCAATCATGGTAGCAGGAGGCCCTAGAGCAATCATGGTAGCAGGAGGCCCTAGAGCAATCATGGTAGCAGGAGGCCCTAGAGCAATCATGGTAGCAGGAGGCCCTAGAGCAATCATGGTAGCAGGAGGCCCTAGAGCAATCATGGTAGCAGGAGGCCCTAGAGCAATCATGGTATCCTACGATACCCTCGGGACGAAGCGACGTATGATGTCCTTGAGGTTGGTAAAGTGCCCCCTTGAGTTTGAATGATGCCCTTGGGGATGATATAATGTCCTTGAGTCTGCTATGATGCTTTTAAGGCTACAATAATGCCCATGAGCTCGTATGATGTCAGCATTATAATGCCTGGGTTAGCATGATGCCCACGTTCTAGCATGATGCCCCTTGTGGTTAGTATGATGGCTCTATGCTGCCATGAACTCTCAGACTTCGACATAATTAATGTTCCGGGAAATGCTGTAGTTAATTTAAATATATATCATGAACAATGTGTGTATAAACATCCTCTCTAGGCTAGCATATCATTAATGAAGCAAGATATATCACACCGCCTACGAATTCGAGTATAACTGAGATGGGCATATCCAGTACATTAATTTTTTTTATAGATCATGTTGGAGTGAACCACATAGGTTCACTCCAACATGGCCTTTCACAACATGAACCACATAGGTTGACTTCAACATGGTCTATAACAACATAAACCACATAGGTTCTCTCCAACATGAGTGAACCAACATCAGTGACAACATAAACCACATAGGTTCACTCCAACATAGTCTATAACAACATGATCTACATAGGTTCCACATAGCTCACTTTTCAAGTGATACATTCCTGAGTCGCTGGATGATATCTAGGTAGAATAATATAATATATATATATATATATATATATATATATATATATATATATATATATATATATATATATATATATATATATATATATATATTTATATATTAACCACGTTTAGTAATTGAAGTGATTTTATTTCAACTCTTACTGCCACCGTCTAATCTATTGATATTACCTTGTATGAGAGATTTTTATTTAATTTGGCTATATTTTTGTAGCTATATTCTTTAGCTACATTATACGAATTTAAATGTTGCTGATTTTAAGGCTCGTAATTGGACTGGAAGCCCTAGCAATATTTTGTATACATGTGAATACAGCAACAGACGACTTCTGCCTCCCGTTAACAGGCTTTGTTAACGGGAGTTAATAGGCTTTGTTTTTCACATAGCTCATCGTCACTTACCTGCTTCCCTGGAACGCCACTTGTAAATCAATTAACCAGGTACCCAATTACTGGCTGGGTGAATAGAGGCAAAGAGTTAAGGATTGACGTCTAGACAATCCTCCCTGGCCAGGACTCGAGCCTAGACAAGGCACTCGCGAGGCGAGTATTTGACCACTGCGTCACTGAGGCACTCGGAAGGCGCACTTCGGGCGAGGGGTTCGATAATATTAGATTGATAGCCTTAGAAGTGCTACGATTATAAATATTAGAAACTCATCAGAAATATTTTGATATAATAATGCTATTTGTATCGAGATCTTCTGTGCCACGTTCTCTCGTCCTCTCCATCCTTGTGTGTGTGTGTGTGTGTGTGTGTGTGTGTGTGTGTGTGTGTGTGTGTGTGTGTGTGTGTGTGTGTGTGTGTGTGTGTGTGTACTCACCAAGTTGTGATTGCGGGGATTGATCTCTGATTCTTTGGTGTCGCCTCTCAACCGTCAATAAACTGATGACAAATGATGTGTGTATGTGTGTATTCATCTAGTTGTGCTTGAGAGAGTTGAGCTCTGGCTCTTTGGGCCCGCCTCTCAACTGTCAATCAACTGGTGTGAAGAGGCCTAAACCTAATGGGATCTATCATATCTAAATATGAAATTGTGTATGGAGTCACATACACAATCACTTCCTAAGGGATTCCATTTGTAAACTACTCTGACACTGAAGAATTTTTTTCTAATGTGGCTGATTTGGGTACTCAGGTTCCCACCTGTGCCCCCTTGTTCGCGTTCCACCCATGCTAAATAATTTGTCTTTGTCTACCCTGTCAATTTCTCCGAGAATTTTGTAGGTGGCGATCATGTCTCCCCTTATTCTTCTCTCTTCCAGGGACGTGAGGTTTAGCTCCCGTAACCTTTCCTCGTAATTCATACCTTTCAGTTCTAGGACTAGTTTGGTGGCATACCTCTGAATCTTCTCTAATTTTGTCTTGTGTTTAACTAGGTATGGACTCCAGGCTGGAGCTGCATACTCCAGGATTGTGTGCGTATTTACTATTCGCATCTGCAAAATCGAGCTATTAGCTTTTGGACCCCGCCTTTCTAACAAATATATTTTTCCACTATTATGTCTACTATATATATTTCTCTCTAACACAGGCACACACACATCCCCAGGAAGCTGGCCGCAGCAGCTGTCTAACTCTCAGGTACCTATTTACTCATTTGGCTCATTTGGGCACTCAATTTCCACCTGTGTGTGTGTGTGTGTGTGTGTGTGTGTGTGTGTGTGTGTGTGTGTGTGTGTGTGTGTGTGTGTGTGTGTGTGTGTGTGTGTTTGGGTGTGATACTAGCCACTTACTCATATCATAATGGGAGCCGCTCCGCTGCCGGATTGACGTGTATATGAATAGCGATGACAAGGAGCCAGATAAGGCGTATCACCAGACGCAACGAGACAGGACACAAATTATTCTCATACGGTGGAACTTGACAGGTATATCGAGGGGTCGAGTAGCCTTCCGGGTGACAGGTATGACGAAGAGTCGAGTAGCCTTCCATGGGACCGCTTGTCGTAGCTACCCTCCTCACCTGACTGATGATCTCTGCTATCACTGGTCGAGAGCTCATGTGACTGGTGTCTAACTGATGTGGCTGGCTTAGAATTGTGTTTACGACCGATTTAAACCTCTGGCATAATTAGTTTAATACTCTAACTTGCTTAGTGCTGCCTGCTGTAACTATGGTTTATTGGGTGAGAATTATTTGCTGTGGCTGGATAAAAGTATTCAGCAATGCCTGTAACAAGAGTTATTTGTAGTGACTGGTTATCGGTTAAGAACCATGTCTGTCGTGACTGCTTTTAAACCGTGTCTTCCTCGACTGTGTCTGATTAAGTGTGAGTGTGTAAGCTTTGCCAGCAGTGACTATCTACAGATATCCCATTATCGAGCCTGCTTAAACCAGTAACTGACTGGTTTATGGCCAGAGTGCTACGGTTACTCAAATAACTTTATCTGCCGTATCTTCTGATTTTTTTTTAAACGTTGTGACTGTTGGTACGTGGTCTGGTACACCATGCTGAGGGAAAGGAAACATTTTTGCCTTATCGGAGTCCTGTGACTGACACAGTGACGGATCTACATTATCTTCAGTGCCATTGTTTACCAATATTATTAGTTACATATAGCGAAACTTTTCAAGAGTTTAAATTGTTTGTTTTGTGTATTATTTATGCCAGTTGTTTATTTTAAGCAATTTATTCCTCTTTTATCATATTTGCTCTGTTCTAAAGAGTTGGCGTTTCTATCCATCGGATGACTTGTTAGTAAGGGTGTGTGTTTCCCGTAGACTTGTTCGTCTCCTCCTCTTGCCCTAAACACATTTTTAGCATCCGTGTAGCTAGTTTTTGACCCCTTCATATAGTCTAGGATAGCTGCAACAAATGCACATATACCTAAATGTATTGTCCAACTCTGCATCAAAAGTTTGCCTGTGCAGGCTATTTAATCACAGGGTCCTTACATGACTCGTCATCCGGTATAATGTGGACTGTTTGACACGCTTTGTACCCATTCATATAATCTAGGATAGCTGCGCAGATATACCTAATTGTGTTAAAGGAAAATATATATACCCACCCCCTGCAGGTGGGGTGTATAAATATTGCCTTGAGGGGATGTCTTAACCATCCTCCGCGATGGGGGATTAGAGTATCACACAATTCTTGACACGAAGTATGTAAGTAGTCCAGACCTGCTGAATTATTGACTAGGAACCAACGTTTGCTACTAATAATAATAATAAAAATAATTGGCATCTCTTCCTCGAGCAAACCACAAATGATAATATTTTATTTATTTTTTATATCATTTATTTAACTGGTATTTATATTTAGACAGGTTATCCATATTTTTTTCACGCCAATATTTTCTCGCATTTTTCTTCGCTTCTAAATATGATCATGTGGTGGCATACCTGTCTCATCATGTGTCTCATTGTTCTTTTTTTAATTCCCTTCATGTTTATATTATGTAAATCCTTTGAATTTATTTCGTTAATGTATGTTAAAAATAATAGTTCCAAACATCTGGTACCACCTGCAGGTTTGCATAATAAGTCAAGAGCTTTTCTATATGGATTGCTTTCAATTAATATTACCATTTATATATAGCCATATGCGAAGTCATTTATATAGCTATGTGTGAAGCAATTTATATAGTTATGCTTGAGGTCATTTGTACAACTATGCAGGTCACCTGTATATTGTGGCTGTGTAGTAATTAAATATTGATATACAGTAGCTATGTAAGTTTATAGCTACGTATTAATAGCCATACATTTATATTAGCTATTGGTGTAGTTAAGTATTAATACAGCCATATTTAGAGATATGTAAATAAATAATCATTTAGTAATATAGTAGAGTATTCAAGTCTTTATATATATATATATATATATATATATATATATATATATATATATATATATATATATATATATATATATATATATATATATATATATATATATATATATATATATATATATATATATATATATATATATATATATATATATATATATATATATATATATATATATATATATATATATATATATATATACATATTACATAAAGCATTGTATTAACTAACACATCCATATATTTATATACCAATGCCGTAATACTGTCACGTATAGATATAATGTAAGCAATGTTATGTATTGCTATACAGTAGCCTTGAATAGTTATATGTGTATAAATATAACTGCGAGATACATATGCATTATTTTACACATGCAGTTTTATAAGACTTGCAGTGATATAGTCACGCAATGCTATGTTTGTTACCAAAGATCTATGGTTTAGTTAGGCAATATTTCTAGGGTTATAGCATATAACCATATATGCTATATATGGTTATATGCTATATAGGGTTATAAAAATATAACCATGCATATACATTTTGATTTAACTATAACTATACAAATTAATCATGTATATTCTTTAATTCTCTTGATACGTATTTCTGAATAGTGTCCTCAATATATATATATATATATTTGCTGAGCTCTCGTAAACTGCATAAGTGATTAGTATAGTAGGTATCCATCAGTCTCGGGGAAACTATACACTCTGGTTGTCGGCCTGTAGTGGCCAATTATTTATGTAGTATACATCAATGTATACCATGTGTATATTTATATAGAATAAAGCATATGTATATATACTAGTTCGTGCATTTCACTTATTTAATTTCCATAATAAACGAAACACATTTTTAACCATATGGAAGTCTAAAGATCCTGTAGACACGGGGAGCACGTAAATGAAACATAATAGTCAAGATGTGTTGCTTGAGTAGATAATGACAGGGAGGACTTTAAGCAACAGGCAGCCTTCCCTCTTTCTTAATGTAATGCAATAAAACCAACTTGATCTGACTTTGCTTTCTTTATTGCGTGCAATTGATATAGATATATATATATATATTTATATATATATATTTATATATAATATATATATTTGTGGACAATAGCAGTGGTAAGTTAATTTAAAGGTACATGGAAAGTTGCACATATTTCTCAAATTGAGCAGACTAGATATGTTCTTTGTGCAAAACAGAACAATTAGTTTAAGCATTTGAAAAATAGTCATTTAACTCTTTGAATAAGCCTATGTGGGGGAAAACACTGGTGCAATCTTTTCAGACTTCAGAACCATGTTCCGACATAAATTAATAACAAGAATCACGTCTCTGAACTTCATTAAAACCTTCAAAACTTTGGTTGAACTTTTTTTTTTTTGAGGAGCTTTGGTGCCTAAGTCTCAAACACATCAAGTTACCCTTAAGTTTGAGCGGGTTCGTCTTGAACTCCGCCTCCACATCGCTGGCACATTCATTCCAAGGTAAATCAAAACCATGAGATTTCTCTTAGAAAACTCATATATTTTAATAATTAGGCATAATTCCAAATAGCTTTCATATACATATTCACCACTGAGAAAATATTTACAGGATATTATGTACAAACTTAGGCTATCACAGTCAAAAAACAAATTAAATAATTATGCACAAAAATATTCGCCGCGAGAATTCCATTGCAAACTTTTTTGCCATTTTCATTTTCAACAGTTACAAATTCCTGGGCGAGATTTTTTTGTGCGGGGTCTTGGAGAGGTCTCGCAGGCGGCGACGGAGGTGATGTCGAGGCGACAACTGAGAGAGTTACACTGGTGCCACCCCGGCCGCGCACCGCCAGGAGGGGCGCGTCGCTCCCCTAGAGTTCCACAGCGCCTCTCCCTCCTCCCCCTCCCTTCCCCCCTTCCCGCTATAGAGCCGGCGGCGGCCCGAGTGCCACTTCACTGGCTGCAGAGCAGATGCTTTGGCACAGTCGCCTCGAGGGGCAGGTCTTTTTGATTATAGCACCTGATATGAGTTTCACCAGCACGATCTCCCACTTACACACCTGCCGGAGCTGCGAGGCTTCTCGGAGGCTTCACTAGTTTAGGAGAGTGCACATCAAAGGGGCGGCCTAGGGTAGAGCCCGGCGTAGGGGGAAGGATAACCGTGAGGGTAAGCCGACAGGGCAGAGGCGTATGGGGAGAGGCCGGGCAGCGTGGGTGTGAGTGAGGTGGGCTTGTTATACGGGTGGTACCTGCTGGCGGTGAGGGGTGAGAGGGAGGGCGGAGGGTAGGGCATGCCAGGCCTGGAGAGGGCGTGGGCTGACCCCAGCAGGGCGGCATGGGCGTGCAGGGGGCTGGAGAGGAGGTTGAGGGAGGTGGTGTCGGCGGTCATGTTGGTGTGAGTTCTCAGGTGCTGGAGCAGCTCCTCCGAGCTGGAGAACCGCTTCCCGCAGTAGGTGTCGCCGGCTATCCAGTTGCAGACGTAGGGTCTGGGCGGGCCGCTGAGGAGGGAGGAAGGCTGGTAGAGGGAGGCGGCGGCAGCGGCGGCCACAGAGGTGGGCGGCAAGATGCTGCTGGCTGGGGTCAGCGACGACGAGGGTAGGGACGACAGGCCGGGCAGGGCACTCAGGGCAGCTTTGGCCTGCTCACACTGGGTACACGACGGAGGGCAGGCGCCGCCTGACTGTAGGAGGTGGTTGTTCTGAACTGAGTAAGGGCAGCCGGTGCAGTACGGGTCGCGGCACACGGGCACCACGGCCTCGCCTCCGCCTGCAGTTTTGACGCGTGTGTAGGTCAAGTAGGGCGAGGCCAGGATTGAGGGAGACAGGGCGGTGGTGTGCAGCCCTGCTGTGGAGTAGAGGGCAGCCGCGGCGCCAGGGTAGACGGAGGCCAAGGTGGAGGGCAGCCCTGGCAGGCCGAGGCTGGGCATGAGGCCGGGGTGGGCACCTCGCAGCGCAGGGTGACTCTCGAAGCCAGGGTAGCCCGGCGGCAGGAGCGAGGGCATGCCAGTCCTGTAGGTGCCCAAGGGTACGTCTTTAGGGTGGCCGGCCAGCACCTCGAGGCCCGACCTGATGATGGGTGTTGTGGAGGCCGAGGACGTGGCCTCGATGCTCCGACGCCCACTCTCCTCCTTAGTCATGCCTCCTGAGGACCCGCCTCCGTTGCTCGAGTTGGAGGGCGACCTGGCACTTGAGGGCTGGCTGGCGGGGGTCTTCCTCCCGGAGGATTTCTCCTCGTTGGCAGATTCCTCCGTCATGTTCTTCTTGGTGGCGCTCTCGTAGGGCTTGAACGCCGGAGAGCGGCGGGTGGAGTCCAGCGGCGTGGGCGTCGACTTTTCCTTCTTCTCCTCCTCCTTCTTCTTCTCAGAAGGCAGAGGTTTGGAGGAGTCTGCTCCGATCTGGGAGCATGTCTGCGCCAGAAGCGCGAGGGGTGACTTTTTGGCGTCCAGCTGCAAAAAAAGAGAAAATGTTTCGTTACTCACTTGTTCTTACTCTTGTGGCGCTGTTAAACAACACATACTTTTGGAAGATGCGATTTTCACAAAATTTTCCAAAGAAATGTTAAGAAAATTAAACTTTTTTTTTAAAATAAGACCAAATATTCAATTAAAACAAGTATTTTGCTTCGGCATTGGTGATGACTAAGGTTAACAAGGACGCACCGTCTCGCACAAGCATCACACATGTAAAACGGTTTCCGACTGAAGCTGGATATAGACACACGAATGTACTAAGTCCCCAAAATTGAGAAACCCCACAGACGGTTGTCTTACCGTGGTGGGTAGTGGAGACAGGTAATCCGGTTGTAAATATTGATTACTGCCTGCAGTCAACATCCCTTTGGACTCGAGAACCACCATTAGCACAGTATTTTTGTAAGCACTAGATTCTGAATAAAAAAAACAAGTCAGCACTTCAGCACGAGCAGCTATGAGTCCCACTTCCGAACACGATGGTGTCTCTACTGGTACTGAGCTGTTGGTCGGCCGCGTGAGATCCACTCAGCTCCGTCGTGACGTCACAGTCTACACTCCTGACGCTGCCGTCGACACACACTACCGTGGCCCGGACCACTCGCATCGCTGGCAGACGTACGATTATTTAAGTTATTTTATTTTCATGTTATGATAAATAGTGTGGAAATGTATTTTAATTAAATGCTTCAAAATGTCATTGCATTTCTCGCATGAAAAGATTTAAGTTCCGAAAACGTCAATTATGTCTAATGAATAACATATTTCTTACTGAATTTCATGCTATAAGCTACATGTGGACATTATTTCATGTTAAATGGTCCCTCTGCTGTAAGGTCTGAGTTTCAATACCATTTCCAAGACAGTTTCAACATCCCCACTACCAGGTCCCAGCCTCCCCCATCACCACTACCAGGTCCCAGCTTCCCCCATCACCACTACCAGGTCCCAGCTTCCCCCATCACCACTACCAGGTCCCAGCCTCCCCCATCACCACTACCAGGTCCCAGCTTCCCCCATCACCACTACCAGGTCCCAGCCTCCCCCATCACCACTACCAGGTCCCAGCCTCCCCCATCACCACTACCAGGTCCCAGTCTCCCCCCATCACCACTACCAGGTCCCAGCCTCCCCCCATCACCACTACCAGGTCCCAGCCTTCCCCATCACCACTACCAGGTCCCAGCCTCCCCCATCACCACTACCAGGTCCCAGCCTCCCCCATCACCACTACCAGGTCCCAGCCTCCCCCATCACCTCTACCAGGTCCCAGTCTCCCCCATCACCACTACCAGGTCCCAGCCTCACCCATCACCACTACCAGGTCCCAGCCTCCCCCATCACCTCTACCAGGTCCCAGCTGCCCCCCCATCACCACTACCAGGTCCCAGCCCCCCCATCACCACTACCAGGTCCCAGCCTCCCCCATCACCACTACCAGGTCCCAGCCTCCCCCATCACCACTACCAGGTCCCAGCCTCCCCCATCACCACTACCAGGTCCCAGCCTCCCCCATCACCACTACCAGGTCCCAGCTTCCCCCATCACCACTACCAGGTCAAGCTTCCCCCATCACCACTACCAGGCCTCCCCCATCACCACTACCAGGTCCCAGCCTCCCCATCACCACTACCAGGTCCCAGCCTCCCCCATCACCACCACCAGGTCCCAGCCTCCCCCATCACCACTACCAGGTCCCAGCTTCCCCCATCACCACTACCAGGTCCCAGCTTCCCCCGTCACCACTACCAGGACCCAGCCTCCCCCATCACCACTACCAGGTCCCAGCCTCCCCCATCACCACTACCAGGTCCCAGCCTCCCCCATCACCACCACCAGGTCCCAGCCTCCCCCATCACCACTACCAGGTCCCAGCCTCCCCCATCACCACTACCAGGTCCCAGTCTCCCCCATCACCACTACCAGGTCCCAGCTTCCCCCATCACCACTACAGGTTCCAGCCTCCCCCCATCACCACTACCAGGTCCCAGCCTCCCCCATCACCACTACCAGGTCAAGCTTCCCCATCACCACTACCAGGTCCCAGTTTCCCCATCACCACTACCAGGACCCAGCCTCCCCATCACCACTACCAGGTCCCAGCTTCCCCATCACCACTACCAGGACCCAGCCTCCCCATCACCACTACCAGGTCCCAGCTTCCCATCACCACTACCAGGTCCCAGGTCCCAGCTTCCCCATCACCGCTACCAGAACCCAGCCTCCCCCATCACCACCACCAGGTCCCAGCTTCCCCCATCACCACTACCAGGTCCCAGCCTCCCCCATCACCACTACCAGGTCCCAGCTTCCCCCATCACCACTACCAGGTCCCAGCCTCCCCCATCACCACTACCAGGTCCCAGCTTCCCCCATCACCACTACCAGGTCCCAGCCTCCCCCATCACCACTACCAGAACCCAGCCTCCCCATCACCACCACCAGGTCCCAGCTTCCCCCATCACCACTACCAGGTCCCAGCCTCCCCCATCACCACTACCAGAACCCAGCCTCCCCATCACCACCACCAGGTCCCAGCTTCCCCCATCACCACTACCAGGTCCCAGCCTCCCCCATCACCACTACCAGGTCCCAGCTTCCCCCATCACCACTACCAGGTCCCAGCCTCCCCCATCACCACTACCAGGTCCCAGCCTCCCCCATCACCACTACCAGGACCCAGCCTCCCCATCACCACCACCAGGTCCCAGCTTCCCCCATCACCACTACCAGGTCCCAGCTTCCCCCATCACCACTACCAGGACCCAGCCTCCCCATCACCACCACCAGGTCCCAGCCTCCCCATCACCACTACCAGGACCCAGCCTCCCCCATCACCACTACCAGGTCCCAAGCCATCACCATCACCAGGTCCCAGGTCATCACTATCACCACCAGGTCCCAAGCCATCACCATCACCAGGTCACCTGCTCCTCCACCACACAGAACCCTAGTTATTCCGCCTCGTAAATCAATCCTTCCACGACCTATATTCACACTGGTTTAGCATTTTCTTTGCTTTTTCCCTTATCATAATTTCTTTCCCTTTCCACCTTATCCTTATACCGTCCCTACCACATCCTGCCACCACCTCGCCCTAATATCGATACCACCACATCCCCCCTTAACGCCACTCATACCTCATTCTCGCGCATATCCTAATACCCTCTGGCTTGTATGCCACTACTACCTCACCTTTCCACTCCCTGCCAGCAAGCCAGCACCCTCCCCAAGCAGGCAGGCTGCTGGCTTGACGGCCGCGGTGAGGAGGTGTTGACGGCTGGTGCTGTTTGGGACGTGACAGGCCGGCTTGTCCCGCTCTTGGGGGCGGTGGTGGGCGCCCGCGTCCCAACCCTCGCATCCTCACCCTAAACGCTCCTTCTCTCACCCTGGCTGGCTAGCTCCTCTCAGAGCTCTCTACCTGGCCGCGACTTGGGCTACGGAAACCGCGACTTGGGCTACGGAAACCGCGACTTGGGCTACGGAAACCGCGACTTGGGCTACGGAAACCGCGACTTGGGCTACGGAAACCGCGACTTGGGCTACGGAAACCGCGACTTGGGCCGTGGCTTGGGAGGCTTCTCGGTGCCTGGCTTACACCCCTAGCATGATACACCACCATTACTTATCCCTTTAAGAAAAGCTACCCCAAGCTTATGACCCCAGGAATAAATCTCCGCTCAGAGATATCTCTCTTGTGTGTGTGAAAATATATCATAAACGTAGTTGGAAATGCATATTATTATAATACTAACCCCAAAAAATAATTAGCAATATTATTATTTATAATTAAAGGTAATAATAGCCGTTAAATAGTATTAATTATTCTAAGACTTATTAGTAATAAGAGAGAGAGGCCATGAGGATGATGAATGGGTGTTTGGGTGTAGTGAGTGTATAGTGGTGTTGTGGGGAGGGTTGTATTGTGAAGGACAGCAGGGGGGAGCAGGACCTGCTGGGGATAGGTGTAATGGGCCGCCGCAGGAGACCGCACTAGCCCTCAGCCCCTTTTTCCACTCTATCCCCTTCATGCCTCCCTTCCTCTTATCCTGCTGCCTCCCTCACCCTTATTCTGCTGCCTCCCTTACCCTTACACGCTTTCCCTACAGCCCCTCTCCACCATCTTCAACCACCCCTCTATCTCCCTCTACTGCTTTCCATATCCCCCCTTATCATCTGCATCTAGACATACACACACACATATATATTTTCATGTAATTGCAAATGTATGTAAACAAAAGGATTGTTCAGCCTGGTAGACTGAGTACCAGTGTCAGTAGAGTGAGTACCAGTGTCAGTAGACTGAGTACCAGTCTCAGTAGACTCTGTACCAGTCTCAGTAGACTGAGTACCAGTGTCAGTAGACTGAGTACCAGTGTCAGTAGAGTGAGTACCAGTGTCAGTAGACTGAGTACCAGTCTCAGTAGACTCTGTACCAGTCTCAGTAGACTGAGTACCAGTGTCAGTAGACTGAGTACCAGTGTCAGTAGAGTGAGTACCAGTGTCAGTAGACTGAGTACCAGTCTCAGTAGACTCTGTACCAGTCTCAGTAGACTGAGTACCAGTGTCAGTAGACTGAGTACCAGTGTCAGTAGAGTGAGTACCAGTGTCAGTAGACTGAGTACCAGTCTCAGTAGACTCTGTACCAGTCTCAGTAGACTGAGTACCAGTGTCAGTAGACTGAGTACCAGTGTCAGTAGACTGAGTACCAGTGTCAGTAGACTGAGTACCCGTGTCAGTAGACTGAGTACCAGTCTCAGTAGACTGAGTACCAGTCTCAGTAGACTGAGTACCCGTGTCAGTAGACTGAGTACCCGTGTCAGTAGACTGAGTACCCGTGTCAGTAGACTGAGTACCAGTGTCAGTAGACTGAGTACCCGTGTCAGTAGACTGAGTACCAGTCTCAGTAGACTGAGTACCAGTCTCAGTAGACTGAGTACCAGTCTCAGTAGACTGAGTACCAGTGTCAGTAGACTGAGTACCAGTGTCAGTAGACTGAGTACCAGTGTCAGTAGACTGAGTACCAGTGTCAGTAGACTGAGTACCCGTGTCAGTAGACTGAGTACCAGTGTCAGTAGACTGAGTACCAGTGTCAGTAGACTGAGTACCCGTGTCAGTAGACTGAGTACCAGTCTCAGTAGACTGAGTACCAGTCTCAGTAGACTGAGTACCAGTCTCAGTAGACTGAGTACCAGTGTCAGTAGACTGAGTATCAGTCTCAGTAGACTGAGTATCAGTCTCAGTAGACTGCGTACCAGTGTCAATAGACTGAGTACCAGTGTCAGTAGACTGAGTATCAGTCTCAGTAGACTGAGTACCAGTCTAGGTATGTGAGTACCAGAGACACTTCTCTATTACTTCTCCATTGCCTGTGTTGCATCATGTTGTCATTGTTACTGTTGTACCTTTGTTGCCTTTGCTAGCGCCTGTGGCCACCTTTCAGTAATAATAGAACACCGCTGACATTACCGCCAATAATGCCCTTAACGGGAATGATGGATGTGGTGCTTGTTATTGTATGTTAAGGAATGAGGGTGTGTGTGTATGGTGTGTGTGTGTATGGTGTGTGTGTGTATGGTGTATGTGTGTATGGTGTATGTGTGTGTGTGTGTGTGTGTGTGTAGGAATGTATGGTGTGTGTGGGTGGGTGTGTGTATGTGTGTGTGTGTATGGTGGTGTGTATGTTGTGTATGGTGTATGTGTGTGTGTGTGTGTGTGTGTGTGTGTGTGTGTGTGTGGGTGTGTGTATGGTGTGTGTGTGTGTGGGTAGGTGGTCGGTGTGGGTGGGGAGTTTAGGTGTGAGCGCTTAGTATTAGTGTGCGAAATGGGTAGTTGTTGGTGGCGGGGGATATATTGGGATATATTGGGGGATATACTGGTATTGGGATATAGTTTTGGGTCGATGAGGCGTTACGAGAAAACTCCAGTATGTGCTAAAGGCGGTTTAATATGACAATATGACACTGAAGCTGTTTCGGGTTAGGTTAGGTGCGGATATGTAGCGTACATATGTGGAGTGATGGCGTGGATATTACGGGCGGATGGCTTGGTGGTGGAGGCAGGAGATATGTGGGGAAAACAGCGAAGATATGTGGGGATGGTGGGATTGTCCGTTTGATTGAAATAAAACACACGGTGGAAATGAGGGTGCTGAACCCCCATGGCAAAGACCCCCGAACTAAACAGCTGTGGATGTTGCATGGAGGACTCAGCCTGAGCATTTGCATAAATATCTAATGGCATATTACGAGTGAATTATTTATTCATTTATGTAAATAGCCTACACATTGCAGCTCAGATGCAGACTGTCAACCTTTCCCAGGCGGAGGTAACGAATGCTTAGTGAATCACCGCTCAATAAGCTCTCTGGTCTGTCAGTTAGCCAAATACAATAGTTTCACCTGACCAGGAACTTACGAATCTCAGCTGCGCACCTAATTTATCGAGGCCGAGGCGTAGGGAAAGGCAAAATGAATAAATCCACAAGGATTTGTCACAAATCGAACCCTCGTCACAAATCCGTGACGAGGGTTCGAATCAACGTCTGAGTGGATCCCAGACGCTGCCTTAATCGACTGAGCTACGCCATGGTAAAGGGATGGGATCCTCTGAGACGGGATGGGATCGTCTGGGATCCTCTGAGACGGGATGGGATCGTCTGGGATCCTCTCAGACTTAGGTTCGAACCCTTGTCATGGCCCTTGTGGATTTGTTCATTTGATGCATCACGCTATTGTGATTTCTGTGGGTAAATATTTCGGTTATCTTGAGGTGATTTCGGGGCTTTAGTGTCCCCGCGGCCCGGTCCTCGACCAGGCCTCCACCCCCAGGAAGCAGCCCGTGACAGCTGACTAACACCCCAGGTACCTATATTACTGCTAGGTAACAGGGGCATATGGTGAAAGAAACTCTGTCCAATGTTTCTCGCCGGCGCCTGGGATCGAACCCAGGACCACAGGATCACAAGTCCAGCGTGCTGTCCGCTCGGCCGACCGGCTTCCTCGCATTTTAAACGGATTAATCGATTCTGTTAAAAATGTGACAATAGATAACGGGGCGTATTTAAGGCGGATAGCGGCTTTCGTTTCAACTTCAAGGCAACCATTTTTTATATATATTGAGTCGTATATATGACCTTAGCCTTTGATTGATGTATTGATGGTGATGAAAGGCAAGGGGAGGAGTGACTGGAGTATGAATAGTGTATATCAAGTATATTGTATTATTAATGAGATTATGTTTGAAGGGCTGTCATGTCCATGAGGAGCCGGTCGGCCGAGCGGACAGCACGCTGGACTTGTGATCCTGTGGTCCTGGGTTCGATCCCAGGCGCCGGCGAGAAACAATGGGCAGAGTTTCTTTCACCCTATGCCCCTGTTACCTAGCAGTAAAATAGGTACCTGGGTGTTAGTCAGCTGTCACGGGCTGCTTCCTGGGGGTGGAGGCCTGGTCGAGGACCGGGCCGCGGGGACACTAAAGCCCCGAAATCATCTCAAGATAACCTCAAGATGAGGTGTAGTTCCAAGGAGACTCAAATTGGATTGTGATCTTTTGTTTAGTTACAAAAGTTCGAGCTTGAAGCACGTGGTAAAGCAACTATTCGTAGAAACTGTAAAACTTTCTTTCATTGAAAGAGAGAACTTCTTTCATGTGCGTGGCTATTTATATAGTCCTAACAAGCAGTCAGTATACACATCTGTCCGATGGTGTGTGTGTGGTCTTGAGCCAGGCCAAGTGTAGAGTAGACTCAGTAGAGTATGTGGGTTTACTATTTGTGTCTGCAGAATCGAGCTATTAGCTCTTGGACCCGGCTGTTCTAACCAGTCTATTTTTCCTCTATTATGTATACTATATATCACACACACACACACACACACACACACACACACACACACACACACACACACACACACACACACACACACACACACACACACACACACACAAAGGAGTCGACGGCTGAGCGGATAGCACGCTGGATACGTGATCCTGTGATCCTGGGTTCGATCCCCGGCGCCGGCGAGAAACGATGGGCAGAGTTTCTTTCACCCTATGCCCCTGTTACCTAGCAGTAAATAGGTACCTGGGAGATAGTCAGCTGTCACGGGCTACTTCTTGGGGTGTATGGGTGTGGTGTGGGAAAAAATATATAGTAGTAGTAGTAGAAACAGTTGATTGATAGTTGAGAGGCGGGCCGGAAGAGCAGAGCTCAACCCCCGCAAGCACAACTAGGTGAATACAACTAGGTGAATACATTCCAGCAATACACTCCCACACTCCCCATATTCCAACATTCCCTCCCACACTCCCAACACTTCAGTATTCACTATAACTGCTCATGGGTGAGCACCGTTCATGTACACATCTGAAGTACACAAACAGAGGTGTACACGGTGGCACGTTGACCTACTCATCTGGTGTACATAATTGCCTGAGCCTCCGTGTATTTTAATTTCCTTTATATAACGATGCCTTCAGGAGGCCAGATGGGTACGGTATATATGTATTTTCAAGGCTTGATGTGTGTGGTTTGTTCAGTCTATGTATGTATGTATTCACCTAGTTGTGCGTGCGGGGGTTGAGCTCTGCTCTTTCGGCCCGACTCTCAACTGGCCGAACTGGTTTGTTTAGTCTGTATTTACTATTTGTGACTGCAGAGTCGAGCTATTAGCTCTTGAACCCCGCCTTTCTAACCAATCTATTTTCGTTCTATTATATCTACTACATATAGTTTGCTGTAACTCAACTATTCAAACACACGTTCCTAGGAAGCAGCCCGTAACAGCTTTCTAACTCCCAGGTACCTATTTACTGCTAGGTAACAGGGGCATTAGAGTGAAAGAAACTCTGCCCATTTGTTTTTGCCGGCGCGGGGAATCGAACCCGGGGCCACAGGATTAAGAGCCCAGCGTGCTGTCCGCTCAGCCACCGGACAGTGTGTGTGTGTGTGTGTGTGTGTGTGTGTGTGTGTATTTAGCATATGTAGTGTATCCTGCGTGTCCACGGAGCGCCTTGGGCGTGTACATATGCCCAGTGTGCGTGTATCGCGTCCAGCATGTCGATGCGTGGCCCCTCGCGTACACATGTATGCTGCGTGCCGTGCGTGTGTGTGTGTGCGTGCATGTGTGTGTACGAGCGTGTAAGTATTGGGTGTCGCAGGGGGAGCGACGTGGGTGCCATGAATCAGAGCCCCTGACAGGCTAGACAGCTCACATAGATGGATAGCCCTCAGCCCACCGCAGCTCCTAGCCACGCCGGCCCTATCCCACACCTCTACGCCTACCACGCCATCCTCCTTACGTCCCAGGGACATTAGGGTCATTATCAACGAGCCGGGTGGGCCGGCCCCTAAAAACTCCGGCTCCTGTGGGAGGTGGACCGAAGGGTGAGAATTGCGGCGAAGCGTCGCCGGCGGTGGGTTGGGGCCGAGGTGGGTCGCCGCTGCCTGATAGAGAGGGACGGTGGGTGATGGCAGCCCTGGCAGGAACAAGGTGGTGGCAGGCGTGTTCTCGACCCTAACCCCACCCACCCCCACCCACCCCACCCACCACCCACCCTCTCCAACACCCAAACCCCACCTATTCCCCCACCTGCAGGCCCGCAGGCGACGCCCTTCGATGCTACGAGTGGGAGGAATGGGTGAGGTTGTGGGAGGTTGTGGTGGACGAGACAGGTTTTGTGAGGGTTGTGAGGTGGTGAAGGGAAGCGTGAGTCCGTCAGGGAAGGCCACAGCTCCTCATTACCCTTCTTGATGGACAACACAAGGGAACCTTGATGAAAATACAAATTTGTTTTTTTTTTCCGTTTATCTTTTCTTCAGCCCCCCCCCCTCTTTCTCCCCGCAAAGTTTCTTCCCCCCCCCTTCCTTAAACCTCAATTCCCTTCCTCTTTCCTTCTTCTCCCCTTTTTTTAAATCTCTTTCCCTTCCTTAAGCCCTTTCCCCTTCATTAAATCCTTTCCCCTTCCTTAAATCCCTTCTCCATCCTAAATCCCTACCCCCTTCCTTAAATTTCTCCCCTTTTTTAACCCCTTCCCCTTCATTAAATCCTTTCCCTTCCTTAAATCCCTTCTTCCCAAGTCCTACCCTTTTCTTAAAATCTCTTCCCCTTTCTTAAACCCCTTCCCCTTCCTTAAATCCCTTCTCCTCCTTCCTTAAACCCTTTCCTTTCCTTAAATACTTCCCTTATTTAAAAACCCCCTTTCCTTCCATAAGCCTCCCCCCCCTTCTCCATAAGCGCCTCTCTCGATAAACCCTTTCCCAACTAACAAACGCCTGGTAACCTCTTGCCAGAACTAAACCTCACTCTAAGACCCTCGGACGT